CCCCGCTCTGACTAATAAACTGCGTTTCTGGCACCCCTTTGGACGGGGGGGGGGCTCTCTGGGCAAGGACACGCGTCCCTGATTCCCCTCCTCCTTCCCGGTTACCTGTACGAAACGATGGAAACATTACTTTTTCAACTAATGCTCATAGACTGCCTCCGCCAGCTTGACCACCGTGGCCAGCACGGGACCATCTCTGACCAGGCGTCTTCCATCTATAGCCGCCTAGAGTGGTCCGGTGGACCAGATAGGCGGGGTATAAATTAAATAAATAAATAAAAATAAATAAATAATTCAGATGTTCTGTGAAGGGGTTTCTCAATCTAAATTAAACTCTGTGCCCCTTGTGGTAAAGTGTAGTTTCACGTAAGGTGAGTATTATTAGTATTCTGTATTCTGTATTCTTCATTAGTATTCTGGATTCTGGATTCTTATTTCCATTTGTAACAAATAAAGAGGAGAGATTGGTTCAAATAATCACACAGTGTTTTTATTTAGCAAATAATAATAATATACCGTACTCGGGGATACTTTGGGCTCTTATATTTTCTCCATTGACCTGTGCCTTACAAGGCTCCTTTTGTCATTCTGTGGATAAAATCGGTTTCCATCCCATGAATTAGACCTTTAGGGAATATCAACACAAGAGGGGAAGCTCCAAAGCATCAGGCCTAGATCACCAAGACGTGCAAAGTACCAGCAAGATCACTGCCAGTAAAAAAAAAAATAAAAATTCCAGACCCAAGAGATTCCCCCAAGGGTGCCAGAAACGCAGTTTATTAGTCAGGGGATCATCCAGAGTCACCCTGGGCGATACGGGCAAGGGCTGACTCTCCTTCCTGGGTCCAACCCAGCTTCCTCTTTTTGACAGGCACGTTTCCCACGAAGGCGGAGGCTCTCTTGACACGGATGGCTGGCCAGGGGGGGGGGATGCTCAGCACGGACGCCAGAATGCACAGCCAGCGGGTGCAGGAGGCCGGTCTGTGGGAGTCCCGAGGAAAGTGTCCCCAGAGCCGGGGTGCGCAAGGCCAGCTGGCCATCGCCCACAGCTTGAGGTGTGGTGGCCAGGACATTCATCGTGGGCGCCATGCTGAGCACTGGAGCCCGGATCGTCCATGTGGGCAAGGCGCTTGGCGTAAGGCCCAGCGGTGCCCGTAAAAAGGACGGTGCTGAGGCTGGGGACAGGGGCAGTACGTACTTACATCATGTGGAACACAACTGCGGCCCCACAGCCCCACACTCTCAGCTTCTTAAACAAGGAGAAAGCTTTGCAGTCCGCACATGCAAGAGCCAGTCTACACGAAATCCTTTGCTTAAATGGACAGTAGGTGAGGGTGCTCTGAATGAATTTGCTTTTTCCCTAGATGGGAAATTCTTGGCAAGTGTGAGCCAGGATGGTTTTCTTCGTGTATTTAACTTTGATTCGGTGGAATTGCACAGTACAATGAAAAACTGCCTATTGGAGCCCAGATGGAAAATGCATTGTAACAGGTGGAGAAGGCGACTTGGTGACAGCCTGGTCATTTCTGGACTGTCGAGTAATCGCTAGAGGTCATGGAGCACAAATCATGGGTCAGTGTCGTGGCCTTTGATCCACTAGAAGAAAGTGATCCCATGGAATTTAGTGGCAGCAATGAGGATTTCCAAGACCACCTTCATTTTGGAAGGGATCGCGCAAATAGCACACAATCGAGGTTATCAAAAAGGAACTCTACCGACAGTCGCCTGTCATGGTTTAGGGTTAGGTAAACCGTGACATCGCCCAGTAAGTGTAACATATAGGTTTGGTTCAGTAGCTCAGGACACACAGCTGTGTTTATGGGACCTGAGAGAAGATACATTCTCTTCCCGCATCAGCCCCTTTCAAGAGCAAGGACACACACAAATGTCATGGATGCAACAAGTCCTCCCGCAGGAAGTGGCGGAACTAATCCAGGAAGGAATGGAAACAGCATCACAACGCCTGGGGACTCCATGCCCCCTCCTCTTCCCTGGTCCAAAAGCCGTCCACCATTCTGCAGTCTCCAATTCTGGCAGTAAAAGCAGTGTCGGGGAGGGTGCCATGGCCTCTGGGGTTAGTAAATTTGCAACATCATCACTACATGATCAAAAGGAAAGACACAAGGATCACAAGCAAAACCATAGTATGGGACACAGATCTGGTAAGAGCAGTGACGAACTGAACCGAGTTACGAAAACGAGACCCAGCTAAAACGTTGGGAACGCCTTTGTGTCCCAGAATGGAAGATGTTCCTTTGTTAGAGCCTCTTATCAGTAAAAAGATAGCGCATGAAAGACACTGTTAATTTTTCTTGAAGACAGTGTAGTCACTGGTTGCCGGGAGGGATGTATTTGCACCTGGGCAAGGCCTGGTAAAGTGAAGTTCTCGGCTGGATAGAAGGGTCACTCACACACTCCCAGCTTGTGGAAAGAACGGTCCGGAAGACTCAACCGGTCGGGTGCAGCCTGAAATCTTCCTGCTACGAAGCCATCCTTCCTTTCTCTGTTTCCCCCACACGTCTTTGCCAGACTGGTGCAGTCAGGATAGCAAATGGTGTGTGTTTCCGCGACATGGGGTTAGAATGGACATTCACATAAATCTGTAGAATACGCAGCTTTGGTCTGGCTGGAAAAATCTAAATGTCGTTTCAGAATCTGGAGCGCAGGAGGATGACACTGCCAATTTGGAATAAAGGGACATACGCTACAAATGTTAAGACTTCCTGCTTAGCATACCCATCATGTCTTTGAGCTTCCTCGTGTTTTCTCAGTCAAAATACAACTAGTTATGTACTTGCAAAGACTGTACATCTCTCCTGTCATATTAAAGCTATTAAATTTGCATTTAGAATACTGTTGGCTTGCTTGTGTTCAAAGGGAAAACCAGCTAATTTACAGTCAAATTACTTGTGTAAAGTTTAAAAGCAAGACTTTTTTTCCTGCACTTATGAACTTTGTATACACGAATTTGTTAAGAATGACACATTAAGTGATCGCAGTTGTGGAGGCCCCCCGCAAGTCCAATGGTGTTGGGTAAACTTCCGAAGGCTTCCCCTGCTCCATCGGAGGACTGGCAGGGGTCCTCCGCAACTGCGATCGCCGCTTTCAGAGGTCTCCCAGAAGTGCTCCGATGGTGCAAGCCTCCAAAGGCCTCTGAAGCTGGCTATCGTGGTGAGGGAGGGGCCTGCCAGTCCTGCAGTGGTGCTTCCCCAGCTCCCCACCATCAGAGGACTGGCAGGGACAACACCTTTGCTGGTATCGAAGGCGGCTGAGATGTCGAGGAGGACCAATGAAGATGTTTTGCCCATCAGCCTCCCTCAGCAGGTCATCAAACAAGGTGACCAGTGCCGTTTCCCTACCGTGACACAGCCTGAAGCCTGACTGGAACAGACCCAGCGCATGGGTTTCATCCAAAAGAGCCTGAAGGGGATCCGCCACCACCCTCTCCACCACTTTGCTGGGGAAGGACACACTGGTGACCGGCGTGGTTCCGTCTCAGCCTTGGTCTACCTCACAACATGGATGTGAAGATCAACGCAGGGAGGAGGAGATGCCTACGAGTTTATACCTGAAAGTCACCTGGAGATAAAAAGCAATAACCTGTAATAAACTTGGTTCTCCTCGTGCAGAATTTAGGTTTTTATAGAATCCAGGAGGCCTCTCTTTCCTGCCTATTGCCTAAGGACCCTTCCCCAAACGAAGCCTTTATGTGCCCCCCCCACACACACACACGCCAGGACCTCTCCAACCCTAGAAAGGTGTTGCTACAACCACCCTAAGGAAAGAGGCTCAGGACAGGAGGGGAAAAGTATAAATAGTTTTTATTTAATTTAGTTTTAGCGCGCGTGCACACACAAAGAAACTCCCAGCCGGGTGCCACTCTTTGTGGGATAGAAAAGAGTGGAGGAGGCGCCAGTTCGCGCGGCAGCTGCAGGGGAGCCGAAAGCAAAGGGGGGGCTCAGCCCAAGGGGCTGGAGGGAGGACCCGGGTGCGGCCCCGCGGTCGGTCGGCAGCCACCCCTCCGTGCTGCCCAGGCAAGCTGAGGGGAAGCTCCATCCGCCCACGTTGCCAACGAATCTCTCCCCTTCTGTCAGGGGGAGCTGGGCCCCGGGGACTCCTCAGGCACAGAACGAGCCCCCCCCACCCCCGTTCAGGCTGGGAGAGAAGTGCCTTCCGACACAGGCTGTATCTGCAAAGGTGCCCGAGGGGGCCTCCTGGCACCCCTGCCGAGGGTTCGGGACAGTGGTCCCCAGAAGGAACTTTTTCATGCACTGCTAAAAGGTGAAGGAAGGCAGCCTAGGGAGGCCCCAGTCGGGACCGTGAGGGTTCTCCCCCTCCTTCACAGGCAGAGGAAGCGACACCCGCCACCAAACCCCACGGAAAAAGCACCGCCCTTGTTCCCAGAACATTTTCTAGCTGGGATGTCCAGCCCAGCATGGACAGCAGCGGCTTCTCGGCCCGGTCGGGAGCCAAAATCATGTCAGGGTTGTGACCAGGGAGTCACAGAAAGGCACGGATGGCGAGAACGGGGCTGGGGGGAGAACTTGCCGAGCGGCATGGGCAAGGCTGCCCCTAAAAGCCTCGAGGCGCCACAGAGTCCGCGGTGGAGGATCTGGTCCTACGGAGGGAGCAGGCAGGTGGAGAGGGAGCAGCGCAGCCCCTGCCCCCAGGGAAAGAGGGAGGCTGAGGAGACCCGTTCTGGGGAGGAGAAAGAACCAGGGAGACGGTGCTGGGAGGGAAGGATGCCCCCCTCTCCTCCAGGCTGGGCGTCCTCTGGCGCCAGGCTCTCCTCCGGGGCTTCCCTGAGGCCACAGTCGGGACGGGAGGTCGGGGCACCTCTGCCACCCGTGCCAAGGGGTCAGTCACGTCTGCGCCAGGGGCACCTCCTCCAGGCCTTCCTTGCCCAGCCGGTACCGGGCCAGGTCCTTCCTGGTGACCACGCCCACCACCTGGAAAGAGAGAGAGAAATGGAAAGACGGAACTCCGGGGCTTCCCTGAGGCCGCAGTCGGGACGGGAGGTCGGGGCACCTCTGCCACCCGTGCCAAGGGGTCAGTCACGTCTGCGCCAGGGGCACCTCCTCCAGGCCCTCCTTGCCCAGCCGGTACCGGGCCAGGTCCTTCCTGGTGACCATGCCCACCACCTGGAAGGAGAGAGAGAAATGGAAAGACAGACACCCACGGGTAGATTCAGGAAAGGGACCCTCTCGGGAACTGGGTGGTAGGAAGTGGCCTTTCTCCCCAGCCAGACCCATCGATCCTCTAAGGAGGGCGGCGTTGGGCAGTGTTCAGAAGGGTGGCCTCGCCCTCCAGGGAGCTGGGTTCCAACCTTCATCCAGGTGTGAAACTCACTAGGTAACGCTCCATCTGGCCTACCTTGCACGGCGGCTGCAAGGGTGACCCACGAAGGGCAGCGGGGGCGGGGCAGGGGGGGCAAGCCTCGACTCACCTGGTTATGCTTGTCCACCACCACGAGGTGCCGTAAGCCCAGGGCCCGGAACAGCTTGAACACCCTCGGCAGGGACGCCTCCTGCGTGGAAGAGAGCGCTTGGGTGGGGGTGTCTCAGGGGGAGGGGGAAGAAGGACACCCCCCAATTCTAAGGAAAGAGGGGACGCCCCCTTCCCTGCCATTCATTCCCTTCCTCCCATGGGACACCTGACCCAGCAGGACTGCCTACCTCTCCTTGTGCTTTGGGGATGGGCATTCAGAGGAGATCAGGGCCGCGGCTGTCTGTGCTCCCAATAGGACAGCTTCCTGCCCTACCAAGGATCTCTCCCTTCTCCCAACCCCAACCAAGCACGGCGTGTGCACAGGAAGAGCGCCGTCGAGGGGCCCCGCCCTCGCAAAAGCGATCTGTGCCCAGGACCCCCGCCTCCCCGAGAAAGGCCGCCACCTGGGGCACGGTGTAAGGCGAGGGGTTCATGAACTCCGTCAGGTCCATCATGCACTCCCGCTCGTCCTGGGAGACGTGGATGGACTGGATGGGGGGGAAGCGCGGGTAGGCGTCCCGGAAGTCCTTCAGCTTCAGGCGCTGCTGGACCAGGGAGAGGTTCGCTCGCTCCACAAAGACCTGCAAGGAGGGAGGAAGGAAGGCCTCGGTGAGCAGGGAGGGCGGTCGGACCCGGGAGGTGGCCGGATTGGGGTGGCGCCCTCTCCACCCGGCAGCCCCTCCGCCAGCTTTCCGCCGTGCCTTGGTCCCACTCCCCAGCCCCCCCTCCTTGTGGCCCAAAGCAGCCGCCGGGCATAAAGGGCATTCTGGGAGCGCGCCCCCCCGCCAACCCTGGAGAGACCTTATACCTTGTGCTTGAGGAGCACAATCAGCTGGGAGCGCAGGATCAGGCCTCGCAGGCCGGCCACCTACAACAGAGAGAGAGAGAGAAGTGTGTCCTGGGACTGGACTCGGCAGCCTCCCTATCACACACACACACACACACACAAACACACACACACCTCTCTGCCCCCCCATGACGGGTTCCTTCCCTCTGCCCAACTAGAGGGGGCCAGGGCAGAGGTGGGTCGGGGCACCTCATGCGTCAAATCCCCCCACCGCTCGACTCAAAAGCCCCCACGCCGGTCTCACCCCACCTGCTCGTGACCCGGAAGGAACTCCACCACCGGGAAGCCGTTGTGGTTAGAAGCGGCGTCGCTCAGGATGTCCACCACGGTGCCGACCTTCTCGATCCTCCGCAGGCAGGTGACCGGCGTGCTCATCACTTCCCTGGGGAGGGAAGGAGGCCCACGGGTCACGCCCTGGCCCACACCCGACCAGGCCAGGCGTCGAGGGGCAAAAAATCCCCCCCAAAAAAACCCAACCAAGGGCAACTTCCATGTACCCCCCCCCCTTGTCAGGTGAGACACAGGAGAGTTCTAGATGGGAAATGCTTTGGGGTTTTAAAAGCGTGTTTCTGGACCTTCAGCCTCTTTTAAAAAAAGAAATGGCTTGAAACCGCAGCCCAGAGATCTGAAAGTCCCAAAACAGCTCCGGGACTCCAGCGTCCAACTGGAAGCCTCAAAGGCGGGCGAGGGGCGTTCAAGGGTTCTGCCCCTTCCTCGTTCCAAGATCTGCCCACCCAGGACCCCCCCCCTCCGGGCAGCCTACCTGGCCGTGAACGAGTGCGAGGTGACGGGGGCTTCCCAGTGGAGGAAGGGGACGCTCTGCAGCTGGATGTGCATGTCGTACAACCCCTGAAGGAGCAGCAAGAGAGGAGAGGAGGCGCAGGATCGCTGGGGAAAAGCTGAGCTGCCCCCTGATTCGTTTCGGGCGCCCACCTGCATCCGAAGCGATCCAGCGTTTGCCCTCCCAACCCGACCCACCTGGCGACGGGCAGACGGACGTCCTGGGATGAGGCGGTTGAGATTTATTTGTGCCTGAAGGGTGCCTTGACCCGGTCCCTAACGCCACGACCATTCCTGCACTCTCTGCAGTTTCCCAGTTCTTGGTGCAGTTGCTGTTTTGTAAGTTACGGGGGTAGCCCTCTCCCCAGTAAAATGTATTTTTTTGGGGGGGGGGAGTAGTTTTTCACTTGTAAAAGTTTTAATAGCAAGTTTCTAGACAGGCTTTGAAAGCAGAGACCAGGGACTTGCTTTATAAAATCAAACCTCTCACAGGCCAGAAGAGGGTCCAAGCAGGGTCTCCCCGGGAGGAGCGTTCTGGCAGGGCCCAAGCCAGGCTAAGAGAAGCCCCTCTCAGGGGAGATGTACGGACCGCCCTCAGACGGGCCCGTTCAAAGGGAGGACCAACAGGCCTGCCAGGGCAGCAAATAACAGGCTGGAGGGTGTCGTGCAAAATACGTCATGCAGGATGAGGGGGGAAAGCCGCTATTTAAGATAACACCTTCCAAAACCAGGGCTTCACCCCTTCTTACCTCGACAAAATAATCCCCTACGATCTTCGCCGTCATCAGCACCAGCATGATGGGGAAGCCGTAGGTGATGTTCCCCGTGGCCTCCATCATGATGACCGTCAGGCTGAGGGTCATCCGCACGATCCCTCCTGGGAAGGTCAGGGGCATTGATTCAGCTTGGGGCTTCTCTTCCCCGGGCCGAGGTCCCCCCCCCCCCGAAGAGGCAGGAAAGCATTGTTACTCAAGCTGTCGACCAGGCGACCGGGTGAGAGGAAGGGGCACAGTGAAGGAGAGCCCTGTTTCTCTCTCTCGAATCTCTGGGATGGGAACAACCACAAGACCACCCAGGTAAAAAAAGATTTCAAAAGTTACGACTCCTTTTGGGAACAGGAACAAGCCAATAAACTAATGCCTTGTTTTGCAGACAACATTAGATTCAATTTAAGGTGCTACAGATCAAGGTCTTTTGGTTTTGCAAAGGGAAGAGAGACACCCCCCCACCTTCCTGCACCTCCACCTCCCGAGGATTCCTTTACATTCGGAACATCAGTGAAAGATCAGCAGAGATTGGAAAAATTACTTTTCAAACTATAGCTCCCATCTTGGATGGGGGAATTGTGGGCATTGTAGTCTTCAAAGGCAACTTCTCCAAGCTCTGCTAACAAGCACCAGGATAAACCAGTCATTAAAGAGAATGCTTATTGATGGTTGTTGCTTATTCTTTGTAATTAGGCTGTTTCTCTCTGACACCCACATAATAGGATTTTGTCAGTGCCTCCAGACTCAGGAATCAGGACATGCAACCTAAGCCCATGGTTATCTTCCATCAGCCAATCACAGAAGAAAACATGCTAAATGCAAGACACGGGGTGAAGGGAATCATGGGCTGTGACAGCAAGACCTTTCTCACCACCCAAGGGAGCACCTCTTCCAAAAACATGATAAGCACACCCTCTAGATTGACCGTCAGATACCTTTGGACCATGAGGGGAAGGGTCTCAAGAGCGCAGGGGTGCGCTTACCCAGCCGCTAGTAGTGGAGGCGAGCAAAATGCCAAACAGGCGCCCCCAGGCGGCTCCTATGAGCAAAGAGGGGATGAAGACGCCCGCCGACACCGTCAATCCGTACGTCCAGCAAGCCAGGAAGAAATAGATCAAGGTGAATGTCCCCAAAGTCATGGGGTCATAGGTGCCTGCAAATGGGGGTGGGGGAGGGAGGGAGACAGGAAGAGGGTCACAAAAACAGCAGCTTTTCCGAGAAGAGCGGCAGGGGTATTTAAGCCACTGAGACCTTTTGGCCTTTCAACAAATCTAAAACCAAAAGGATTTGGGAAGGGGTCGGTCCTCTCCCCCCTGAAAAAAAAAGGGTGCTCCTCAAAATTCTACCTTCCCTCTCATGACAGACAGGCCTGGGTCCCCGGGGGGCCCAGCAGAGCCAGTGAAATCGGAGCAGGCGCCTCTTTGCACACCGTCTGCATTTCTGTTCCTGCCATTCCCAGACTATAAAGATCAGGCCGGTTTCCAGACCGTCGGCCTCTCCGGATCCAAAAAGGGACCGTCGTTGTCAATGAGATCAACGACCTGTCGACAGCCCGGGTCTCTTTCCCGTCTCCTCCCACGGCCCTTTTATAACGTCAGCCTGTTCTAGCCTGCATTTCTAAGAGTCACAGCCTCCAAAATCTGTCCAGTGAAAAAGCTGAAGAGGCTGCAGGATCCCGGTGAGGGTGAACATCTACACGACCGTGGCGCTACCCATTTGATCCCAGCCGAGAAGGCGAAACCCTTCCCTACTCCCCCCACCCCCGATGGCAAGCCAGAGGGCAACTGACCTGGGGGGTCGTGGAAGAGACGTACGACGCTCTTTTCGGGCGTGTTGAAAAAGGCGGCGGCCATGGCGTTGTATTCGCCATCGGGGCAGAACAGCTGGCAGAGCAAAGGCCGGGAGAGAGAACGGGAAAGAGCCTCGTTAGCCCCATGGGGCAGAATCCCCTGGGAGCTCAACAGGAGCGAGGGTCCCACAAAGATCATCCAATCCAACCCCAGCCGATGTAGGGAAATCCACGGCTAGAGAGTCAGGAGGGCCAGCGGGCCAGGCTCTGGCTAAGAGAGCTCCAGCGAAGGAAACTCCACCGCCTTCTGGCGCAGTCCGGTCTGCTCTCCGACCACTCGGCACAGCCTCCGAGAGTGACCTTCTTTCGAGCTGCCTGCACGTCCCCTGCGGCTTTCCACCTCAGACACCACGAGACTTCCATCATATCTGAGCCCCCCCTCTTGCTTCAAGACCCCCCGCCAGCCGAATAGCAGCATGCAGGTCTCCCTCAGGAAAGCATTACACCCCCACCCCACCCCCTTCTCCAGGCCCGGCCACCTGTCGGCGGCCCCCCCTACCTGGAGGGGGTACGCCATGCTGTTGCCCTGCAGAGGCTGGCAGTCGCTGGAGCTGTAGATCATCACGAAAGCGACCGAGGCGGTCACGGCCCCCACCAGCATGGCCTCGATCACCTGCAGGCACGGGCGGTGGATGTACCTGGGGAGTCGGAGCACAGGCGCAAAGGGCCCACGGATCAGTGCCCTCCTCGTTGAAGAGGACAGACCAGGCAGGAAAGGCTCAACGCCCGCCCGGCACTTTTTGGCTGCCGAAGGAACCTCTGATGATGAAGCAGGAGGGGATGTTTGGGGGGGAATGGATGGGGGGGACAGGAGAAGGCATTGACCAAGCACCAGTCCTACTTCAGGACAGCCGCAAAAGCGGATTCTGCATTCAAGCCACAGGGCCAGAAAAATAATAGTTTTTCCTGCATCTGTAGAAAAGACATTCCTCCCACACAGCCCAAGGGAAGCGTAATGATTTTCCCAAACTCTCCCTCCTTCCTCCTCATTTCACAAAGAGGGACTTCAAATGCCTTCTGTAGAAAAGACAAAGTTTTCTGTCTTCTTCCCACCGTTCTGTCCCCAAAGCATGGAGCTGCTCTTCCTGGACAGCATGAAAAACCCTTGTTTGGATAGACTGAGCAACATGGGTGTCAAAAGCTCTCCCTTAGGAGGTTTGTTATATGGGGGGGGGGAGGCAAAGCCGTGGGCTGCCCCAAGGGGCTCTCTCTCCCCCACCCACCCCCCGAGGCTCAGAGTTAGATCCTCAGCTTCCAGGGGAACCCTGGAGTTTTGCTGCACTTCTTGGCAGGGGCCATGAGGCTGGAGAGCTGGGAGGGGTGGAGGCAGCGAGCACGGGGAGGGGGGGGAGGCTTACCTGATCCGGAACATGGTCAGCCAGTAGTTCAGGGCATTGAACATCGCTCCGAGGATCCCACCTGTGGCCGGGAGAGTGGGAGGGAGGGAAAGGAAAGGAAAAGGAAGGAAGGAAAAGAGAAAGAAGAAAGAAGAGATAAAAAAATGGATGGATGGATGGATGGATGGATGGATGGATGGATGGATGGATGGATGGATGGATGGATGGATGGATGGATGGATGGATGGATGGAAGGAAGGAAGGAAGGAAGGAAGGAAGGAAGGAAGGAAGGAATCAAGCCTTTGGCATCATTTAAGAAGTCAGTGCATCTCTTACTTGGCCTTCCTCTTTTCCTGCTGCCTTCAACCATCCACAGAATTATTGTCTTTTCCAGAGTATCTTACCTTCTCCTGATGTGCTCAAAGTATAAACACCTTAGTTTCATCATGTTTGCCTCCAGAGCATCTTTCTGGCAGTTCAGGATATCAGCAAAGCTTTCCTCCACACATTGAAAGAGGAGGACAACTCCTCATGGCTTCCCTCCCTCCCTCCCTCCAAGCCCCTGACAAAAAGGCGAAACTGGATCGTGGCCACTGCTGGGAGAAAGGTGGGGACGCCTTACCCACCACGCCCATGAAGATAAAGATCGGGATTTCCTGGAAGGAGTAGCCCATCTTCTGTAAGGAAGCAGAAAGAGGCAACCCCTGAGGGAGGTGATGCCAGAGACATAAACACCCACCCGCCACGGAGACGCCCGCCTGGCCCGCAGAGCTTGGCAAAGATGTTTTTTCAGACTACGACTCCCATCGTTCCTCCATCAGGGAAGCCACTGGGGAATCTGGGTGCTGTAATCCACATAAAAGGAACCGGGCCA